TTCAGTCGGTGGTTTTGGTTTTTTTTTTTTTGGTCCTTGAGTTCTGGTTAGCAGTGGGCTGTTCGGTTTTGCTGATAGGGGTGTTATGTTGGTCGCTCGGTTTTGCTGATGGGAGGCAGAATGCTGTTGAGTTCTGGTCGGCAGTAGGGTGTTCGGTTTTGCTGAGATCAAGGCAGTGGGCTGTTCAGTTTTGCTGATAGGGGTGTTATGCTGGTCAGTTTGGCTGTCAGTGGAGGACTGGTATGGTCTGGTACGAGAATGGGCAGTCGGTGGATGGTGGCTGCTGGGGTTGCAGTCGGTGTTGATGGGTATTGGTTTGGGGTTTTGTTGCTGGGTAGTGGCGGACTGATATCGGCACTGGGCTGCAACGTGGAGGAGGGGCTGGTGGCTGTCGGTGCTTTGGTGTTGGGTAGTGGCGGATTGATATCGGCACTGGGCTGCAACGTAGAGGAGGGGCTGGTGGCTGTCGGTGCTTTGGTGATTGATGATGAGGTTAGGGTTAGGGTTAGGGTATGGCTCTGATACCAACTTGGAATGAATGTGTGTGAAAAAGGGATACTCAAATTAAGAGTAGAGCCCCGTATATATATCCAAAAATAATACAGAGTGACTTAAACATCTTTGTAGTTTAGGCAAAATATAAAAATCATAGTAAGGGTAAAAAAGGGAAAAGAAATCCTAATAAACTAGACTATCTATACTCCAACAAGAATTTATGTGATCAAATATCGCCTAATATCCTGCCCAATTTCATAAACCAATGCAAGGTCTCGGGGGTGACAATAATCATCCACAAGGGTCTAGACTCTAGAATTCAAACCACCATCCTCCTTTACAGAGAACAACCTACAACCATGCTCCCGTGTCCTACAAATTTAAAGGCAGCTATCTACATTTTCAAAATAGATCGATCTTATATGCCAAGGCACGAATTTGCTCCCAACTTGGGTAGTCAACTTATTTATAATAGATATTAGCAAAAAAAAAACTATATATATAATCGAAACCATTTAAACCAAGTCTTGCTAATCCAGAAGTAGGAGATGACTATACTGAATTGTCTTCCCTGTTATCATTCTCCCTTCAATTTTTTACTGGGAGGAAAGTGGATAAATTGTGGTCCTTGTGCTGGAGAGAACAATGTCCATTTGGGATAAAGCATTCACATGTTTTCTCATTCAACCTTAAATTAAGGCTGTCTCAAGTAACTTTATTCTTATTGTAAACACATGAATAAAATTGTTATGCTAAACAGTCTTAAAGCTTGTTATAAGATTATGACTTCAAATAAAAGGCATCAATCTTTCTGTCTCACGAACACTGTGACACTCATACAACCCGGGGATCCCGTTGACAACCCGTCAACCCACAAAAATGCCCGTGAGTGCCGCTTGATCCGACATCACGCTAATGTTATTCCCTTTTTACCGGAATTTTTTTTTTCATTACGCGAAACAACCGTGTACCTTTATCATTGTATCTAACCGTGATCCAATGTACCACATTCCATCCTCCATTATAGTCCATTTACATCATAAGAACTAAATGATGCATAGCCCAAAGGCCTGGGAGAAATATTTTAGCAAAATTTCAAGATCTGCCAAAGTGCACTGGTACGGGTTGCTCACTAGACCTCAACGTATTGGTACGCTAAGCCCATTTTTTTCTGTTTCATCTATTTTACATTTCAAATCTAATTTTAACCATTCCAACATCATCTCAAACATACATAATGATCTTATTCACATAAAGTTTGATATCTATAAGTTCTATTACAAGTCATTTACACGATTACATGTCAAAATGGAATTAAACCTAAATTTTTATACAAAACTTATTTTCAAAAGTCACAAACTGGCTTTTCTTCATTCTCGAGGTCCCGAATGTGTGTCATCCACCGGAATATGTCCCGTACCTGAAATGTATTTCCATATAGGGTGAACCAACGCCCAGTAGAAATTTTCCTATAGAGGCTACTTCCCAACCCAAGTGCATATGCACTGTTCATACACAACATTCACAATTATACATTCATTCCAAGCAAAAATATACCTGTTGCATGTTGGAATCAATTATGTCATGCCATGAATGAAATGAGATTCACTGATGCCCTTTAACCTGAGCCCTTACAGGCTCCCACTACATAATGCAATGCCGATGAATGAAAAATCCGTCATTGATGAATTACATCCAATAATCATTTTGACATAAAGTCATGTGGTTATAGACCAAGTTATTGTTGGATGTTACACATCGAATGATTATTTTATAAAACAAGTATACTTTTCTGAAATTTCACCACAGGGAAGTGTACCAATCAGGTATTTTTATAAAACAAAATCCTTATGTCTTTGTTGGGTAGCAGAGTTCTCGGAGTCGCACCGCTAGTTCCGCACACCGTGACACTTTTCCGTAATTTCACCCCAAGGGAGTGTCTGAACCAGGTAGCCGGGTCTTGCACCCAAGGGAGAGTCTAACCCTACTTGTTATACCCAACACAAGTTTTTCATGCAACCATGCGACTCAGTCGGATTTTTAATCCAACTTTCTCAAGTGCATCCATCAACCACCAAGTATGGTGTTTGATTAAACCATGACAATACCCATGAATGCGATATTCCCGTGCAAATGTAATGTAATGCATCATTATTATTTCAATGTTATACGCATATGTAAAGAATATCATATGAGCAAAATTTAATCATATTTACACATATTCCATGGCAATTTAAATCACAAAACATAAAATTACCAATTCCATCACAATGTCGATATATCTATGAGCATACATCAACATTTTTATATCCAACAGTCATTCACAAGCATGTTATCACATAATATATGTCAATAACACATTTCATCCACCAAGGCATAAATTTAAACACTTAACATGCCCACATAGCACTCATTTCCATTGATCACATTGAGTAAAATTCACAATTCAATTCAAGGTAAAATTCATTCTATCTAATTTTCATATACATTTCATCCATTTTCACACACATTTCATCCATTTTCACAACATAGGTAATAATATGATCTTTCCATCCACATACCCATTACATATTGTATCCTAAGTTGTTAAATAAACCTAAGTAGGAAGGAATCCTACCTCTTAAAGTGTAACCCACTTGGTAGAAGCCTTCAAGACCCCAATTTTCGCCCCACTTGACTCCACCAAGGTTGGTTTTGAAACTTCGGTGAAATTCCTTGTTTTTGGTGTGGTCGTGTAACTCTCGACGAGGAAACCGACTTTTGTTCTTGTCCCGAGTGAATTTGAGCACCGTAGCTTTGTAGATCGTAGAGAGAAGATGGAGAAACTCTCATTTCTCTCAACGTTAAAGATCGACTGAAGAATGGGGGAAAATCTGATTTTCCCCCTATTTATAGTCTTAGAATACTTAACCCACAATTGGCCACACAACCCTCTTTTTTCCAGCTCCGTTTTAGCCTCGAAACGATTAAATTTCGTCCCGATTCAAGTTCAAAATATTTTTATTTTAATTCGCCTTTAATTATTTCTCAACCTTCACAATTTTATTTAAAATTTTCGTTCTTGGGTCACCCGAGGCCCGATCACCTCATAAAACTCAAAAAATCTGACTATCTTGGAATTCGATAAAATCTGACGGAATAACAAGATTTCGCGAGACGAATCCAACGGTGAGGTCCGTTTCGTCATCCGAGTTCTAGAAAATTTCAAGTTTATAATCCGTACTATAGTGACAAATTACTATTTTACCCTTTTTCATAAAAAGCTTAAATTTACCCAAGTTTTACAAACACTGATAACATGTTTTCATAGGACCATTTTATAGACATCTAGCCCCTAAAAAATCAATTGGAACATTGGTTTACAGTTTCTTAGTTTCTTGTTTCACTTGTCAAGGGGGTTGTTGCAAACAAACTCAGAAAGCATGGGGAGTAAAGAAAAGGGAACTTAGCCCAAACATAAATACTGATGGAAAATTGTTTTTATAACCTTCCAACTGATTAGTGTATCATTCTGCACCAAATAATAATCCCATGTAATTTTCTACACAACACAAACTACTCTAGGTTGAACAAATTTAGAAAGCCAATGATATGATTATGCGATACTGGGACCTCATCAAGTGACCTAATTAACTGTCGTCGTTGGATTAGCAGTTGTTCCCAACATTAGACGAGATTCCAATATTAGCAGAGACAACAATGGATTAGGTCAGAGATGGTTAGGTCTGATAGCATTATTGTAAGATTATGCCTGGCCACTCTGCAACTACTTATTCATTCATATTAACATGCAAAATAACTTTTAAGCAGGAAACTACAACAAAACATAGCTAGGGCACGCTTCAAGAATGTTGTTCACAAGAGCACTAGATTGGAAGAAATCACAAAATCTAATGATTTATCAGTTATTTTTGATGGGCTAATGGGGTTAATGAAACTCAAGAAACTACTGAGTGTTGGGTCCTCTTCGTTGTGAACTTGAATGGGTATCTAGAAATTCATCAAAAACTGTATAACATTTTCAATTCACCAGCCACTTAAGCAATCTCTTGATGTTGAATTAAATGAGGTGGGAAGACTCTTGATCAAATAGTTATGTATTGCAGCTGATGAAAATGTAATAGATATTAACTCTAAAGATAGCTCAAGTCGTAATATGAATGAGCTGTAAACCAGATGCTCTAAGTTCAAAATCTTGTCAACCTTTTTGGGCCAAGTAAATCACTTGGACGAACCGGGGTGAATTAGTCGAGGTACGACTAACCTGCCCCGGACATTCCCACCTTATAACAAAAAAAAAAGAAAATGTAATAGATATTGGGATCAGAGTTTCATATTTTAGCTAGAAATTGATTGTGTGCTATGTCTAAAAGTCATTTTTTGAGGTGAATTGGGACAGTTATTCATCACACCTGGGAATAAACCCAATTCTTGACATGGGTCTTTACGATTTTCCACACTAAAACCAAAATTGCAGAAGAAAAACAGAGAGAGAGAGAGAGAGCTAAAGGAAAGGTAATCTAGCAAAAGAGTCGATGAGAGAGAAGGGAAATCCATATCAGTGGTGTGGCCATGGAAAGCACAAGCATCTGGGGATCAATCCAATTAAATTGAGTAAAATTGCTAAGAATTATCAATTTAACAACCAAACTCAGCATCTTGATCTATAAATTTCATATTTTAGTTGGAAGTTGATTGAGTGCGAAAAGTCATTTTTTAAGGTCAATTAGGACAGATAGGTAATCTAGCAAATAAGTGGATGAGAGAGAAGGGAAAATCCATACCAGTGGTGTGGCCATGGAAAGCACAGGCAGTTGGGGAGTTGTCTTTGTCTTGGTATAGATTGTTGCATCTCAAGCACCTCTTCTCAGCGTTGATGATTTGCAATCTTTGTGGTTCTCTCTGATCGAATTTTGAGGTCAACTTAATCTTCTGAACATCAAATGGATTGGAGAGAGAAGGTTGAGAAACACTGTAAGCCAAAGCCATTCTGCCCAGGAAGAGGATGAACTTTTTTCAAGTGTGAATGGGTGTTGGGTTTGCTGAAAAGTTCTAAAGAGATTCGGATTAATTGCACGTCTCAAAGTATATCTTTAATATTTTAATTACCGGGAGAATTATACCTAAACCTCTTAAATTTATCACTTAATCATTCAGACTCCCTAAATTTAAAATATTACACACAGATCTCTAAAGCTTATACGTGCATAATACTTAGGCCTTGTTGTAAATATATCAGTTAATAAATTATACTTAGACCTCCACGAAGTTTATAGGTATATAATACTTAGAGCTTTAAGTTTAAAATATTATATTTAAACAAAAAATACTATAATTAAAGATAAAATATCAAATATTTTAAATTTTATAACCAAAATTCATGTTCTATTGTATCATTTATTAAAATAAAATAAAAAATAAAAAATAAAAAATTAATTTTTTTCTTAAAAATCGTAATTATTATACAAGTATATTATTTATTAGAATTTAATTTGGTCATTTAAACGACCAAATTAAAATATCAAACTACTCCAATTAAAGTTAAAAGATATTGTGTCATTACAGTTTGACCCCTTGTTTAATTTTTTAGTTTATTCTAATAGATAATATAATTATATACTAACTATAATTTTTTAAAAAAAATTGAACTTTTATTTTTGATTTTATTTCAACAAATGACATAATAGAATATGAATTTTAGATGTAAAATTCATATTCTATTATGAATGACTTAGACCTTTTATTTAATTTTTTTAGTTTTATTTCATTAAATAGTATAATTATATACTAATTATAATTTTTTTTTAAAAATAAATTTTAATTTTTAATTTTATTTCAATAAATGATATAATAGAACATGAATTTTAATTGTAAAATTTAAAATATTTAATATTCTATATTTGATTGGAGTATTTTTTGTCTAAATATAATATTTTAAACTTAAAACATCTAAATATTATATATCTATAAACTTTATAGGGTCAAAGTGTAATTAATTAACAAATATATTTACTACAAATGTCTAAGTATTACGCCCTTATAAACTTTAGATGGTTTATATATAATATTTTAAATGTTAGAGAGTCTGAGTGATTAAGTGACAAATCTCAGGAGGTCTATATGTAATTCTCTCTTAATTATATTATTTTAAATTTAGAATTGAATATCTATACTAATAAAACGACTTTAAAATTTTTTGATTTACTATTTTACTTTTATAAAAACATATAAAAAATAATTTGCCTTTTTGTATTTAAATATTTAAATTATTATTAGATCCTTATATATTTAAATAATAAAATAACACTAATCTCTAACAATTCATTTAAATATCTCTATATTTGTAAAATTTTTGATTGACCATGCTATACTTAGCATGATATATAAAAAAATATTATTTTTTTTAAAAGCACAATATTAATACACGTCGATAACTCCATTGATAAAACATTATTTCTGACACCCAAAAACAGATATATATAATTTTTCTTTTCATAAAAGTACTTGAGTATGAAAAAATTTTAATTTATTATTTTACCCTGATAAGAAATTATAAAGACTAATATATCCTTTTGTATTTGAATATACAAATTATCATTATATCCCTATATATTTAAATAATAAACTAATCTTTAAAAAATCATATAAATCTCTCTGTATTTGTAAAATTTTTAAATGATTGTGTTATGCTTAATATGATGTATATAAAAAATATTATTTTTTTTTTCAAAACCCCAATATTAATACAAGTCGATAACTCCATTGGTAATATATTATCTCCTACACCCAAAAATGGATACATATAGTTTTTATTTTCATTCACAATTAAAATAATTTAGTAAAAAATAATTGAGGCACAAAGTAAAACAAGAAAGACAAAAATAAAAAAAAATCGAGAAAAGAAAAATTTATAACCCTTACTAATTAGTAGTTCGAATGAAAGAATCACAAAAAATGAGTTCATTGGATATTTATAATTATGAAGAGAATACAAATAATTTAAGTATGATAAATATGAGATAATATTTAATTTTACTACATATTAGAATTTTTTTTATATATTTTATCAAATGTTTTAACAAAAAAAAATCACATGCAACGCACGTGGTACATTGTTAGTATATTTATGTGATGTCTCAAGTAGATAACATATAAATTACTAATAATTTTTTATTATAAATTTATCACGTGATATCTAAATATAGATAAAAAATAATTTAAATAATTTTGACTGAATTTTAAGAAAGCCATTTTTGAAGTCGGCGTTTTAGAAGTCCCTCATTGACCTCAACCCAAGCTTTTTACATGCTCCTCCTTCACCCCGAGGGGAATGTCTCGTCTCAGGAAGAGGGAAGACATCGGTAGCTTATGATAAAAAAATGTATAATTTAAATAATTTTTTGACCATAATTTGGAGAGAAATTTGGTCAAAAGTTATTTAAATTATTTTTTATCTATATTTAGGTATCATATAATAAATTTATGATAAAAAATTATTCATAATTTGGAGATTATCTACTTAAGAGGACCACATAGAAACATATTCAATATTTCATGGACCAAAATGATCCAATTACAATATTAAGAACAAAAATGAGACAAACTCTATATTTTGAGGACCTTTGGTATAATTAACCCTGGAGATTTTTAATATTGATGAGATTAGAGCATCTCCAAGACTACTAATGTAAATAATTTATGTCTGTTAAACGAATTAAGCGGACTCATGTTATGTCTTTAATGGGTTCAAGTGAAAAAGTATTAAATCCGTACACGATATGCTGAATTAAATGAATAGAAATATAAAAACCGAGCACGACTTATTTATTGTTACATCACATTGACGTGTTTAATTTATTTAATAAACGAATAGTATTGGATGGAGTTGGGATAACACGATAACTCTTTTAAGCAGTCATCTGTCTGGTTGGTTTGTCATTAAAAATTTTATATAACTAATTAATAAACATTCATGCTAACTAATTAACAAACTGACAAAAAAATATGGTATTTAATGATGTCAATCCACATTAAAAAAAAGCATTTAAAACTATAAGAATGAACTCATCAAAAAAATCAAATTTAATTGATCTAATTATTAAATTGGATACATTATTCTGACTAAAAAAAATTGACATAGTTATTATTTTATTAATTTTATTTAAACGGATATACGAGTAATAAGTCGGGTGACATATCTCACATGAACATGACCCGTTTATTGAGTAGGTCTAGCGAGTCCACTTGTTTACCACCCGCATATGTTAAGGTCTCACCCAAATTTGCTTAACTCTTTGTCAGTTAATCATGTCGTGTTGCATTTTGATAGACCAATCTCCAATCATAACTCAAATTTAGATTCAAATTTAAGTAAAAAAATATGATTTTGTATAGAACACTATAATGGGCAAACTCAAAAATCTATTTAAATTTGTTAAAAAAATTTGTTATTGTCCCAATCTCTTCTTTTTTTTTTTTTCAATTTTTCCCACCAAAATATTTTATCCTCTCTGTCTTCTATTTCGTTTACTCCAAAACCTCTATCCCTTTCAATATTTCCTTCCCTCCAAAATTTTATGCCCTTATCATTTTAATTCTTCCCTCCAAATTAAATTACAACCAACTTGTTTTATAAGTAAGCTACATCATTCATGCCCTTCTTCAACATTTTCATAGAAATGAATCTTTTAATGTATCTTTTGCTCCAATCTTCTTCATCTTATTCTTTTTTTTCGATGAAGATGATGGCGAATAAATATCTTCAATTGTTGATCTTAATAAGACAAATAATGCCACAATGTTGAAAATCTTAAGAGAGGAGTCAGAACAACCCAACAAACATGGTGATTCTATTCTAGGATGGAAATTCATCAATTGTGACAAATAAAAGGATCATAATCTACTACTTCTGAATTATTTTGTTGAAAATCCAGTTTATCCCCCTTTAACATTTTTGGCGATGCTATGATATTGAAGCATATGATCCTCTTTTTATTCAAAAAATAGATGATTGTCGTGTTCTTCGATTATCTTCTCTTCAAAAGATGACATCCTTAACTAAAACGTTCGCCTACAAAATGTCAGCGGATGATGTGGATGAATATGTACGAATTAGGAAAAGCACAACAATCTTAAGTTCTAAATGTTTTTGTCGATTAGTTACTAAAGTTTTTGAAAATAAGTATCTCAGATCTTCAAAGGAGGATGATATTTCTAGGTTACTTGCTGTTGGGGAGGCTCGTGGATTTTTCAAAATGTTGGGAAGCTTAGTTTGTATGCATTGAGAATAGAAGAATTGTTCAAATACTTGGCAAGGTTAGTATTGTGGTCATGTAAAAAAAAACTAACTATAATTCTAGAGGTCGTAACTTCTTATGACTTGTGGATTTGGCATGCCTTTTTTTTTAATGTCAGGATCTCACAACGATCTCAATGTATTAGATTGTTCTCCTCTATTTTTTAAACTTGTTCAAGGGTGAGCACCTCACACTAATTACTCTATTAATGGATATACCTACAATATGGGACATTATCTTGCCAATGTATATGTCCTTCATGGGCAACATTGGTTCAGACCTTTTCTTCTCCACAAAGAGCCAAGAAGTAACATTTTGCTATGATGCAAGAGTAAGCGAGAAAAGATGTGGAGCGAGCATTTGGGGTTCTACAATCTCAATTATAATTGTAAATGGAGCAACATGGTTTTGGAATCCCGAAACACTTGGGGATATCATGAAGACATGTATTATTTTGCATATTATGATTGTTGAAGATGAGCTAGATGACTATGACGATTTTGAATATGAAACATCATCACATGCTACATCAATTGTAGTTTCGCGAGAGTTTAACAATGACTTTGAGTCTTTCATGGCTCGTCATGTAAGAATTAGAGATAAAGATACTTATCATGCCTCAGAATGACTTAATTGAGCATCTATGATAGCATCGGGGAGGAAGTTAACTTTTAAGATGGAGAGAAATGTCATAGCAATTTACTGTTAATTCATGGTTCCTTGAATCAAACATTGTGATATTATATT